ATATACCTATGTATTAAAAAAAGCAAAATGAAATATACACATTTACGGTTACATACACCAAGAAAACACAGTAAGAGTATGTTAGAAAGTAGCAAAATGAGTGACCTAAGAAGATAGAAGACAGGATGGCCAGGGTGGGGAACGACCACTCTAATTATCCTTGCTATAGAGTTTCTTACTTTAGAATCGTGTTGAAATGTTATTATTCAATAAAAAACAAAATTAAACCAACAAGAATGGAGGGAAGAACAGAAACAAAATAACTAGCCAGTGTATGAAATTGACAACTACGCAAGGAGAGGAGTGTACAGGTAGGGATGACTTAACCTAAGTAACTTTTGAGTTTAGCTATGTTACTTTAGACAAAGACAGAAAAATCGCAAACCTTGAAACAATTTATTGTTTGTAGTGATACAGATTTTACAATTCTAGAGCTATTGTATATATATATAAGATTGATCACATAAGTGAATATTTTGATCATGTTAGAAGCTGGGAATCTCATGGTGGAAAATGTGAATGTGGGAAGTCAAGAAAAAACTAAATTTAATTCTAATTACAACATTGGTATGCATTTATGATTTAAATAACTTACTTTTTTGTTGCTCTTCCCATGTCTGGAATGACCTAATTCCATCCTTTGAGGAGGATACATCATTTGTGTAATGTAGTTCATTGAGTTCTGGATCCAAAAAACACAATCCAATCTAAATACCCATAGCTGTGACTGTGACCTCATTTGGAAACAAGGACTTTGGAGAAATAATTAAGACAAGCATCTTGAAACAGGATTATTCTGGGTTAATCCGATGGACCCCAAATACAATGAACACTCTTATAAAGGGAGAAACATGGAGAGAAAAGTTCATGTGAAGAAAGAGGTGGAGATTGGAGTTCTGCTAACACAAAGTAAGGAAACTTGGTCCCACCAAAACCAGAAACAGCAAGAAATCATTCTCCCCTAGAACCTTCCGAGAGAGCATAGACTGTCAACATTTTCACCAGTGGCCTCCAAGAGTGTGAGAAAATAAATTTTTGCTGTTTCAAACCATCCTGTATTTAGTAATTTGTTATTAGTAGCCCCTGGAGATCATTACAGATAGTAGTCCTTCAAACTTGATAACCTTAATTATATCATGAGGAAATGATCAGACAAAACCCAAAGGAGAGAATGTTTTAAAAAATGACAATAGTCCCACACTCTCAAAAATGATCAGTGTCATAAAATAAATGAAACAACATGCCAAGGACCTCTTTCAGATCACAAGAAACTAGGACTTGACAACTAAGGACCCGAGTTCGATCCCTGGTACAAAAAAAAAAAAAAAAAAAAAAAAAAGGAATAAATGGTTTGTGTGTGTGTTTTTTTGTGTTGTGTGTCTCCAGAGAAAGAGATTTTTAAATACAAATGTGTTTTGCAGTTCAAATGTCTACCTGTATTTCCATATTTTGTAAATCATTTAGTTGAAGGACTGACAATTCGAGGTTACTTTGTAAAATATTTGTGCAAACTTTTTATATTTCAAATATATATTTCATAAAATTAAATTATTTTAAATAAGCTTTACAAGGGCCAGGAATTTAGCTCAGTCATTCTGCTGCCTGCCTCACAAGTGCAAGTTCGAATTTGATCCCTGGTACCAAAAATAAAATAAAATAAATAAATGTTTACAAACACAAAAACACCCTTGACATATTCTGTTTACACTGACCTATAGCACACATATAAAATTCACCTTCTTTCCCCCAGTACTGGGGATTAAACTCAGGGTTGCTCTGCCACTGAACTGTATTGCCAGACCCTTTCATTTTTTATTTTCAGTGAGTTGCCCATGTTGGCCTCAAACTTATGATCATCCTGCCTCAGCCTCCTCAGTAGCTGGCGTTACAGATGTGTGTCACTATAACAGGTAATTAATACTTTTAAAGTATACAATGCAGTGTTTTAAATACATTCACAAGCTCACCACTAATTCCAGAACATTTTCCTCAATTTCCAAAAACATCCCAGTATCAACTGTAGACACTTTGCATTTCCCCTTCCTCAGCCCCTGACAACACTAATCTGCTTTCTGTCTCCATGGATTTGCCTATTCAGGACCTCTCAGTCTATAGAATCATACCATATATGGTTTCTTGCAACCAATTTTGCCTACCAGTATATTTTCAGGTCCATCCGTGTTGTAGCATGTAACAGTGACTCATTCCTTTCTGTTGCTGAATAATATTCCACTGTCATGGCTATGCTGCATTTGATTAATCCATCCATCCGTGACTGGATACTGCAATTGTTTTCACTTTTTGGTGCTATGAATGAATGAATTGCTGGGGAAATGTTTTTTGTGTTTTTTGTTTTGTTTTATTTTGGTTTGGTTTTTTTTTGGTACTGGGGATCAAACTTGGGTCCTTGCACTTGTGAGGCAGGCCACCGAACCGCTGAGCTAAATCCCCGGCCCTTGGGAAAATGTTTTAAGGACTGTTTACTGTTT